CATTATACATTATAGATCTCCATGTTTTAGATGTTCACTGTCTGTCCCCTCCTTTCTGATGAAAGTTCTGTCACAGCAGATTGTTTATTTTGTTCTATATCTTCTATTGATCAATGCATCCTTGTTAAATGAGTGAATGGTGAGTGACTGAATGAATGAACGTGAACCAGGGTATCTATATTTAGCACTGATGAATCTGTTAAGAACACCATGAAGCAAGTACCTTGGGAGCACACCTCATCTTCAGGCAGGGCTGGCATGAGGCAGCCTTAGGGCAAAGGGAGGGCCTTAACCACACCCCTGCCTTTGAATTCAGAGAACATCAAATGCTTCTTACTTTAAAAGGACCCACACAGGGTCATGTGAAGAGATTTGCTCACCTACCTTTGACCAACAGTCTGATTTCTTACCTGCCTTAGCAGTCACGCACAGATCAGAAGTACTGCATCCTATGAAGGGATAAGTCCATAAGGTCTGGTCTATCACTCTCTATTATATTTGCTCCCATCTTTTCTCCTTTTCTGCCCTTCTCTACTGTACCTTATTGGTGACAACCCGTGTGGGTAGTTATTATGACTTCCCTGTGACTTCTTTTCATAAATGAGAAAAATCCCAGCTCAGAGAGGTAAAGCAACTCACACTCAAAAGGATGCATTGAAATCCTAACCCTCCACATGTCAGAATGTGACCTTATTTGGAAATAGGATATTTGCACACATAATTAGTTAAGATGAGGTCATATTGGATAAGGGTGGGCCCGTAATCCAATATGACTGGTGTTCTTTTTTTTTTTTTTTTCACCAGAGATTGAATCCAGGGGTGCTTAACCACTGAGCCACATCCACTGGGATGTTTTTAATTTTGTTTTATTTTATTTTATTTTGAAACAGGATCTTGCTAAGCTGCTTAAGGCCTCTCCAAGTTGCTGAGGATGACTTTGAATTTGCAATCCTCCTGCCTCAGCCCCCCTGAGCTGCTGGGATGACTGGTGTTCTTATAAAAGAACATCATGTGAAGAGGCAGAGTCACAGGTAGAGCACTATGTGATAATGGAGAGTTGGTACAATACATCTAGACTCCAAGGAACAACAAAGATTGCCAGCAAACTTTGTGAAGTGGAAGGGAAGAATTTACTAACAGGTTTCAGAAGGACTATGATTTTGAACATTCAGCCTCTGGGACCGTAAGACGGTACATTTCTGTTGTTCCATGGCACCCGGTTTGTGGTACTTCCTTTCAGCAGTATTAGGAAACTAATGCCTATGAAAAAGCCACCTTTCCTTTATTCCACACCATCTTGGAGATTTAGGGCAGGGTTGGCCCATAGGTGTGAATAGGGGAAAAAAAATGTGTGCTTAATTGGTGTAGAGACTTCACCTCATCTGAAGTCCCAAAATAGAACCTAAACTATTTAACTCACATCATGATATCTATGAATGTGAAGAAGTTCCCCCAACCAAAGTTGACTAAGTTCAAGTTAGTTCTCAAGAAAGAATAGCCCCGGGAAAATTAGGGATCTCCTTGGAAGCCTCCCCAACGCGTGTTTCCTATAGCACACTGTCCAACCTCCAGATTCAGGGTGACACCTAGGGACCTTCCTAACCGTATACAAGATGCTTTCTTCTTCTATTTTTTCTACTCTCTACTCTCTATCCCTGAACCACAAGCTTTTTTTTCAGCTTGCCCTGGGTTTGCCTTGATTCTTACAGTGGCATTCAGGAACATATCTTTCATCCTGCTGGAAGAAAACAGAGTAGTACCAAAATATCTAATTCCTGCTCTACTGCCTCAATCCATGCGTATTCCTTTAAATAATGTCACAACTCTCCCGAGTGCAGCTGTCAAGGCAAAGGGGTTGAGGATGGGGGAGGCAGAGAGACAGGATCTGTGCATCAAGGAGAGGAATCAGAGGGTAAAAAGGAGCAAGAGAGTAGATAAGGAGGTGGACATCTGAGGGTTACTGGCCTCTCCTCCTTGAGTAGATATTCTGAAGCATTTGGCCCTTGGGAAATCAGCATTTTCCAGTGTTTCCTTGCCTTCTGCTCTGAATGTCTGGTTTTCTGATTTTTAGAAGTGAAAAAAATATTTTGATTTAAGCCATATGGCCTTTTTCTCCCTGCACTGGAGCTGTAGAAAACTCACAGGGGCAGGTGTGGAAGGCAGTGGCAGCAGGGTGGGTGGGTCCATAGGGCCTGTGTGTCTATAGCTTGTGCAGTCCTGTAGCTATGGCAACCGTGTGCAATGCCACTTGCATAGCATCGTAACATGGCCCTAGAGTTGCCCCTGGCTCCTCAACTATTCCTCTTCAGTGTGCTATCTGTGCTGTGGTTTCCTAGCTACCATAGCTCTGCTTTTATTTTTTTGAAGTCGTGCTTAGGTATTGTTTCTGTTTGCTGTGCTTGTTGGCACTATACCTTGTCATCTGATAGAAACACTAGAGAGCAAAACCAAAACCCATATCTTATAGATTGTTAACAATTGTCTGTACTTAAGCACATTGAGTTAGAAAGATTCTTGAGGCCGTGGTCTGGAGGAGATTACCACTTGAGGCTTTCTTAGTTCTAAAGGTCCATTTTGGGCTCTGTTAGAACTCATTAGATCTATTGATTGACTACCTGCATCCTCTTTGCGCATGCATGTGTGTGTGAATTCTTAACAATCTCCCAAATACAATATCAGTAAAGTAAAGCAAAATTTACAATATATGCAAATATATTGTTTCATCCTATGAAGCTTGTTTACAAGTAATTTATGCATATATACCCTGTAAAAGAAAGCAGTATTCTGTTATTTCTGATAACACATACACAATTAACTATTTTTATTGATCGTTAAAGTAATCTCCAAATCCTCAGACATAGTTCTGCTGTAATTAAATTTAAATGTTTTTTAAAAATTCTTGTAAGTTGGGAATTTACTATTTTCATATTTTACTTTCCTTATGTTTGGTCATTAATTGTGACATCATAAACAGCGAAGATTTAAAGTCCTTAACCTTCTCAGGCCCAAATAGAAACAAAATCTCAACACCCATAAGTTATGAGCAGCCTCCCACAGGGACTATAAGACCAAATACACTTATAATTGAATTAACTAGGGAGAGGATTCTGGGAAGATGACAGCATCAGCAGCATAGTTTTTAGACTCTCCGAATCTTTACATAAAAAAAAAAAACAGAGAACAACAGCATAGAAAAACGGAAAACATTTGCAACAAAACAGTCCATTCTGTTGCTATCACTGAATACCACAGACTAGATATTTCTAAAGAATACAGGGGTACTTAGCTCCTGTCATGGTTCTGGAGGCTGGGAAGTCCAGGAGCACCACTCTGGCATCTGGTAAAGGCCTTATTGATGTATCATAAAATGTTGGAGGACATCACATGGTGGAGACAGAGCAAATGTGCTAGTCTGGTCTCTTTCTTTTCTTATGAAGCCACTAATGCCATCCAGGGACCTCACCTTTATGCCTTCTTCTAATTCTCATTGCCTCCCAAAGACTCCATCTCCCAATACCAATCACATATGATTTTGTGGATTATGTTTCCAACACATGAATTCCAGGAGACATGCCCAAGCCTTGAGACTAGGTGACAGGGAAACCCCACAATGCTCAAATGCAAGTGGGTGGGGCCAAACCACCAACAGCCACAAGACCTGCATGGCATCAGTGTCTATCTGGGAGAAAGGATAAGGAAGCCACCTATGATGGACCTAGGAACAGGAGGACTCCAAATACCCAAGCAGACATTTGCTGGAAAGAGGGCAGGCCAATCTGGGAATAGCAGCAGAAGCAGGTTTTGGCCAATACCAATGTCAAACCCATGGGGGGAAAGTCAATGAAGAGATAGAACTTAAGAAATAATTAGAGATAAAGCAAGAAGAGGCTGGAGGGCTGGGATTGTGGCTCAGAGATAGAGTGCTTGCCTCAAACRTATGAGGCACTGAGTTCCATCCTCAGCACCACATAAAAATCAATAAATAAAATAAATATTTTGTGTCCATCTACAACTAAAAATATTTTAAAAAGAAAAAGAAGAGGCTGGAGCAGCTCAGCTCCTATGAACCCCCAAAACCAACTGCCAGGGGCCCTGGGTATGACAGAGTCTCACACTGAAGAGAAATTTCCTGCACTGGAATAAAAAATGAATAGGACATGGACAAAAGATGAAGAAAAGAAAAGCTCTAGATCCAAATAGTGAAATATCCTGAAGCAAGCTGACTTATTTTTAACCTACCCCCAAACCAGAAAGGAAGTTCTATGAAGAACTGAGTTTCCTACTTTATAATGAAAATTCAGGAAAACTAATTTGGCATTAAAAGAAGCAATGGAAAATATCAAGGTCACATAGTTTTTATAAAGAAAAAGAAAAAAAATGGAGCAAAGAGCTAAATAACATCCCCACAGGCAATAAGATCACCCCAGAAAGAATAGCAACAAAACAAACCTAAACTGTAATCTATTGTTTCAAATGAGATAAAAGAAAATAGTACATGATATGAAAATCATAGAAACGAGCATTAGAAATTCAGCACTGAAGAGACAGAACTCAGGAAATATTTATAAATAAAGCCAAAATAATATAAGAAAGGAAGAATAAGCCAGAAAGAAAGAGCAAATAAATTCAACAACAATGCCTGAAGAATAAGTGGAAAAGAAGAAAATTTTTTTGAAGAAAAAATTTTAAAAGTTTTTAAATTCAGAAAAAAGCAAAGATTTGAGAGAAAGTGACAAATATTAAAGAGTGACAAAGAAGATCCAAAAGGGAGAGAACAGATTGCAATTGGAGGGATCAACACAAATCATGAGATATTTTATCTTTAAATATCTCTCCGTGTGTGCATTTCCTTTTCTGTACATTGAAAACACTGTTCATTCTGTCTACTGGAAACAATGACCAAACATTGAAAATAATACCCAATCCAGCAGCAGTGAACACCCACAGTATGATCCCAGTCTACCATTTCTCATTAAAATAACTCAGCACATCATCAGGAAATGGCTGATTTCAGGTCTGGGATAGAAAATGTACAAAATGAAACTGTTATCCAACTAGACAATAACAAAATTATCAAAGACTACCCAAATTGTGTTGAAAGTAAGGAAGAACAAGTTGAAGAAATTTCCACTGGCTAAAGATGGAACAATTTGAATTTCAGTAAATAATAATTTTAATTGGTTAGAAGCTATAAATGGCTGGAGTGGGGGTACATATCTGTAATCCCAGCAGCTTGGGAGCCTGAGGCAGAAGGGTCATGAGTTCAAAGCCAGCCTCAGCAATGAGGAGGCACTAAGCAATCGGTGAGATCCTGTCTCTAAATAGAATACAAAATAGGGCTGGGGATGTGGCTCAGTGGTCAAGTGCCCCTGAGTTCAATCCCTGGTCCCCCACCCCACAAAAGCTGCTATCAAATATGTTTAAATTCATGAGTTCAGACTGAGAGTTCCAAAAAAGAGAAAATGCTTACTTTCAGAAACTACTAGGGAACTAATCCATATTTCAAAGTTTGGTAAAAGAAGGGAAAGATGATACATTTATCCTGCCTTTCCTAATGATGTTATCACTGGGTAATCAAATAGTACTGATAACAAGAATTTTCTCTTCATAATAATTTTTCAGCTAAAAAATGAAAAAGAAAAGATGGAATTAGAGTATCAGCATTTTGCAATCTCAGTGATCTAAAATATAAATATTAAGCGTCAACAGCTGCTAATAACACAAAAAGATAAATAATCAGACATCATTGCTTTCTGTTGTCTTGCCAGTCACCAGTTTCTTGGCAAAACCCCTACAAGAGATACCAAGCACTATGTAACTCCTGTTGTATTGGCAGCAACTTTAGAAAAGGAGGGAACCTGAGTCCGACCTGCTCTTTGGGTCTAGCATTCAAGTTTCAGGAGAATAGAAGAACATGCTCAATCATACCACAGGTGTGCAGTCAGCCAAATCAGAACATGGGCCTGATAACTTTTTTTATAAGGAAAAGAAAAGATAGAGGAGAACTAATAGCTTAGAAGGGAGTTTAAAAACAGAACTTTAAAAAGTTGGGCAAGACTATAGTGTTCGTGGATGCTCATTTGAAGAACAACAATGAAAGAGCTAGAAAGTGGTTAATATAGAAGTCAGGATAATGGTGACTTATGGGATGATAGAGGGGCTTGTGATTCACATTGGACATATGGGAAGGGATTCTAGAGTGGGAAGTAAAGTGCCACTTCTTTTCCTCCCTCCCTCCCTTCCTTCCGGATCAAACACAGGGCTTTGCCCATGTTAAGCATAGATTCTACCATTGAGCTATACTTTTAGCCTTAATGTTCCATTTCTTCTTTTTTAACTTCATGGGCTTTCAAGGATATTGGCCTTATAAATATTTATTTAACTATACATTTGATGTAATTTTCTGAATCTTTGTTAAAACAAATGTCAATAAATTTTACAGTAGGCTTTTTTTTTAAAAAAAGACAAGAATCAAAACATTTTATTGTTTTTAATTCACATTTTCAAAATATATCAGCAAAAATTCTTTGGTTGTACAGTTCTGAAATTTCACAAATACAGACAGTGATATAATCCCCAGTACAATCAAGATACAGAACAGTTTCACACCCCCTAAAACCTTCCCTTGTGCTCTCTAGTAGTCAACTCTCCATGCCGTCCTAATTCCTGGCAACTCCTCACCATAACGTTATCTATTTTTATACTTCATTTTTAGAATGTCATATAAATTGATTCATATGTGGCTTAAAAAACAAAAACAAAACATTGATCATTGTGAGGCTGGACTCGGCCACCGCTGTGGTGTGAGGCGCGTGTTCGGGCCCTTGTGGTCCCCGCACCGCTCCCCGGCTACTGCCTTGCTCTCCGGCGTCCGACAGCCAGCCTTCGGGACCTCCCCACCACGGACAGGCCTCGCGTCCACCCAGGACGCCTGAGCGACAACGTCCGGGAGAAGGACATCCAGCGCTTCCTCGAAGTAGACCTCAAAAATGGGTACGGCTTCATGGAGTTCGAGGACTCCGACGACGACGACGACGACGCCGCCGCCGCCACCGAACGGCAAGGAGCTCTGCGGCCCACATCCGGGGACGGCGCCGCGCGCGACGGCTACAGCTACGGAAGCCGCAGTGGTGGAGGTGGATACAGCAGTCGGAGAACCTCTGGCAGAGACAAATATGGACCTCCTCTTTGTAAGGAGTACAGGCTTATTGTCGAAAATCTTTCTAGTCGTTGCAGTTGGCAAGATTTAAAGGATGTCATGCAGCAAGCAGGTGAAGTAACATATGCAGATGCTCACARAGAACGTACAAATGAAGGTGTAATTGGATTTCGCTCCTACTCTGACATGAAGCGTGCTTTGGATAAACTGGATGGTACAGAGATRAATGGCAGGAATATTAGACTTATTGAAGATAAGCCACGAGCAAGCCATTAGGCGGTCTTATTCTGGAAGCAGATTTAGGTCACGATCAAGAAGGAGGTCAAGAAGTAGGAGTCGCAGGAGCAGCCGCAGTAGATCTCGAAGTTTCTCAAAAAGTCGCTCCCCATCCAGGTCGCGGAGCAAAGGTGGATCACGTTCTAAATCAAAAGGCAGGAAATCTAGATCAAAAAGTAAATCTAAGCCCAAGTCTGATCGGGGTTCCCATTCACATTCTCGAAGCAGATCTAAGGATGAGTATAAAGTGTCCCGAAGCAGGTCTCCATCTCAGTCCCCCAAAGAAAATGGAAAAGGTGATATAAAGTCAAAATCAAGATCAAGAAGCCAGATACCCTTCCAATTCACCCTTCCTCTTCCACCCTCAAAGGCTCCTTCTGTGTCCCCTCCACCAAAAAGAGCTACTTCAAGATCCCGTTCTAGATCTCGCACAAGGTCAAGGTCCAGATCAAGTTCCAGAGATTAACCCAGAACTCTACATTCTTTGCACACTATTATGGAACACTTTCCTACTTGCTTAGGCAGTTACTCTTCCATGTTTATACTTGGCCTCTTCTGCAAGAGGAATTTCCTGAGAGCAGGAGCACACAAAAATTTGATTTGTGGCCAAATTTGATGAAAAAGATGAGGTTCTAAAATGGTGGCATGAAGTCAAAGACCCTCTCCCTTCTTTGTAGAATTAAGATAACTTTGATTTTATAGCTTTTGAGCTAAAATAACTTTTATAAAGATTAAGCTCATTTAGATTTTTTTAAAAAAGTATTTTCAGCAGGATCTGCTGCAGGGTTTTTGTTGTTGTTGTGTTTCATTTGTTTGCTTATTTTTAAATTAACCATTTCAAGCTTTGGATACTTAACGCTTTAGAGGGAGAATCCAATTTTCAATTATGTTGGCTTTTTATAAAGCTTGAGTTATGTAATATTTAAATAYAAGTTTGCTACCAAGATGATTGCCTTATTGAATAGGTCACTATCTAATTCCTTTAATGTTGATATCTGCTATTTGTGGAAACAAAATTGTGTAAATTCTACTAAAGTGTAAAACAAGGCAAGCCTCAGACCAGCAATAAATTATTCAGTTTGGATAACATCAAAAAAATTTAAAAAAACATTTATTTTTTGGTTGTAAGTGGACACAATACCTTTATTTTATTTTCATGTGGTGTCGAGGATCGAAACTAGTGCCTCTCACATGCTAGGAGAGCACTCTTTCCTCTGAGCCATAACCCCAGCCCTCATATGTAGCTTTTCAAATCTTGTTTCTTTCACCTAGCATCATGCTTTGAGATTTAGCCTCATATTCTTTTTATTGCTAAATAGTACCCTTCATATGGATCCACCCCAGATATTTATTCATTTATCAGAAGTCATTTGTTTTGGCAATTCTAAAGAAAACTGCAATAAATATTCATGTTCAGGTTTTTGTATGAAAATAAGATTTCATTTATTTAACAAAAGATTTTTTTTCATGTTTCTTGGACAAATACCTAGATGTGATATTGCTGCATCATAGGTTAAATGTGTCTAACTTCACAAGAAGCCGTCAGAATGGCCACACCATTCTGCACCCTGACAGGCAGTGCATGAGTTGCTCTGCCTCTTCATCAGCACTTGGTATTATCATTTTTACCATTCTATGAAACATGTAGTGGTTTGTGCTTCCTTGATGACCTTGTTCTGTGATGCACATAAAATATTACTCATCTGCCATCTGTACAGCCCCTGCCCATTTTTTTAAAGCAAATTCTTGATTTTCTTATTGTCAAATTTTGAGAATTCTTTATTCCTTTCTCTAACTAATTGTTGTAGTCGGAAGTTAATTGACCATATATGTATTAGTCTGTTTCCAAACTTTATATTTTTTCAATTGATCTATGTGTCTATTCTTTCACCCATGCCATACTTTATTGAATACCATCATTTTATATTCAATATTAAACCATGCAGTTTGGATACTTCAATTTTTGTCCTTTTTTTTCAAAATTGTTTTGGCTATTCTACTTTCTTTGTCTTTTTCCATTCATATTAAATTAAATTAATTAATTAAGAATAAGTAATTTTTGGCACTGAGGATTGAACCCAGCAGTGCTTTGCCATTGAGTTATATACCCAGCCTTTTTTTTTTTTTTTGGTACCAGGATTGAATTCAGGGGTGCTTGAACACTGAGCCACATCTCCAGCCCTATTTTGTATTTTATTTAGAGACAGGGTCTCACTGAGTTGCTTAGTGCCTTGCCATTGCTGAGGTTGGCTTTGAACCCCTGATTCTCCTGTCTCAGCCTCCAGAACCATTGGGATTACAGGCATGTGCCCCCTCACCCGGCTATACCCAGCCCTTTTTATTTTTAATTTTGAGACAGGGTCTTGCTAGGTTGCTGAAGTTCTCCCTATGTTGCTGAGCTGGCCTCAAACTTGTAATACTCCTGCCTCAGCCTCCCGAGTCACTGGAATTACAGTCATGTGCCACCATGCCCAGCTCCATTCCAAATTTTAAAAACAGCTTGTCAACATATTAAAAAAATTAGATTTTTAAAATCACTTAAGGGGAATACAATTTTATTATTTCTAAATTAGTGGCTTTACTTCCATTTCTGGTTATGACTAACTCTTTTGTTGAAAACAGCTATAAAATTTGGTTAAAACAAGAAAACCACCAAAGAATTTCCCCAAAGTAAAAAAGTCACCAAGCCAAGAATTCAATAAGTTCTATGAATCTGAAACAGGACAAAACCAAAGAAAACCACATTTAGTCAAACCACTGAAAAGTAAATGCAAATATAAATATTAAAATTAGCCAGAGTAAAATATGGCACATTAACCTCAAATGAGCAACAGAAAGATTGACAGCTAACTTTTCCAACACAAATAATGGAAACCAGAAGATAATGGAATGGCATGTTAGTAGAAAAAATATCTTGCATATTTAGAATTATATACCCAATAAAATGGAAATTAAATAGAGATAAATCTATATCTTTAAATATAAAGGTGAGATAGAGACATTTTCATTTAAAAAAATCTAGAGTATTCATTGTAAGCAATTGTACTGGAAAAAGTAACAAATGGAATTCTTCTGCTACAAGTAAAAAATAATACCAGCTGGAAGCCCAGAAATGCAGGAAGGAATAAAGAACACCAGAAAATGAACATCTAAATTAATACTGATTGTTTAAAACAACAATAATAACATTGTAGTATTTGAAAAACTCTTCATGTATTCTTTCACTCAGCTGGACTAACCATCCATCATCATCCAAACAGACATGTGCATTTTTGCCTCTGTGCATTTGGTCTCTCTTTTCCCAATCATTTGAGGCCAAATTTACATCATGGCATCTTCAGTTTAATACTTAAACTATTACAACTTTGTTCCCTTTTTTATTTTTATTTACTGTGTGTGTTTTTATTTCTCAATATTGAATGATCTTTCAGGATCTACTGTAAGTTATCTATGCAGTATATCCTCAATAAATGTTTGTCAAATAATTAAATTTGCTGAAGAATAAATTGGTAATGAGCAGATAACCTTGTTGTTTTCTAGGACAGACTCATCTATCCATTATTAATAAATTGTTATCCTGAGGTTTGATAAAGACAGCTCCTACAAATATAAATAAGAAAAGCTTTAATAAATTCTTGGATGAATGATCCATGAGGGACAGATTGGATGATTACATCTCATCTTTAACCTTTTGAAATTCACTTGATGCTTGTTTAATAAAATCCTTCTTGCTATCGCTGTCAAATGGATCAGGCTGGTCAAACTTTATCCACAGGTATAGCATTTATGTCATTTTAACATGAGTCATTGTACTATTCCTAGATGCTAAAGAAAGAAAAGTCACAGCCCTTGAGCTCTTCAGAGGATGTAAAATTCTAAACAGAGGTTAAATGCACACCCATAAAACAACTTTAGATGAAATTTTAAAAAATTTTTGTAAGTTCAAGAAAATATGGAATAGTGTAGACTCAAGCTGCAATAGATAAGGAAACTAAAAAAAATTAAAATCACACTTGGGATGTGATTATTAGGAAAGACATCTGAAAAGATGCAGTTCTGATTTTGAAGGTGAGAAACATGTGGAAGAAACGGGGCATAGATTTTTCTAAGCAGGGAGAAATAACACACAAAACACAGAGGCAATATAGTAAGTCAATTCAGGCAACTATAAACAGGCTTGAGGAATTGAGGGAATGTAAGGCTAGAGAGAGGTGGAGGGGCAATTGATAGAAGATGTCAAATGTTTATTTTTAAAATAATGCAAAATTCTCTTTTTATTTTCAGTAGAAATAACCTTTACTGTCAACAGCCCAGTTAGACCCCTTAGTTGATATAATGATGATCCCAACTTCCTACGCTATTATTTGCAATAATTTCTGCCATATGAGTGTAATGGGAAAAACACATTGCAAAGTGAATTACTTTTGAAATGTATTGCATKCTGACATTTGGGAAATTAGATCCTGAACATGATGCATCTTGATTATTTAAGGTGCCTTCCCACCATGAAAAACAGATTCAACCCAACAATTTGAAAAAAACACATCTGCATGGTAAATTAAAGTTCTGTCTGTTGGCAAGGGTCTGATCAAAGCTTTTGGTCACTATTTAGACAAATAACCCTGGGCACAAACTATTCCTTGCCTAAGTACATGGGTCTGTGTCCAGAAAGACCTTCATCCAAACATTTTTAGCCTCATCTGTGAATCCATTCTATTGTATCCATTTTCTTAGGTACTCAACTGCTTCAGTGCTAGAGATGCCCCTGCTCAGCTGACATCTATTTTGTTTTCTGGAGAAAAGCCACATTCTCTCATGAAGAACAAACAACTCTTCACTTCTCCATTCCCACTCAGCAAATTCCTCTGGCACCATTGGCCTGTCTCATCATGAATGCGCATTTGCTTTGGCCTTTCCTTCTCCTGTGTAAGTTTCTGTGTTGATGGGGTGCTGGGCTAAGCAATGGTAAGTTCAATAGTCCTGACTTCAGAAGCATAGGTCAGGAATGAATCTGGCCTTCTGAGAGACACCATAAATGTTGGTATTTCCAGACAAGACCTTCCTTATTTACTAAACATATCCAGTCTGTGTGCTGAACCGAGCAATGTGTTGAGAGGGAAGGAAGATGAACAGGGAGATAATGGGACCTCACATGAAGATTAGAGAATTCCTAGATGCTAAAGAAATCTGAAAATTAACTGGGAATGCTAAAGAGGAATAGGATATAAAAACAATAGTGAAGGGTCAATAATTTCCTCATAAATCAAACAAGATTGCTATTTTGAACATTAATCTAAGCATGTATATATACATAAGCAGGCCTTTCTTTGTACTTGGTAAGAATACATGGCTTTATATATAACAATTGGTTTTGGTCATGAACCTATATTTTGGAGTCAGAGAGACCTAGATTTGAGTCCTGGCTTTATTGCTTACTGTATTGACAATATTAGTTATGTTATTATT